GTGCGTTAAATCCTCCTATCCCCAACCTTGCATCAGATATGCAATCTACTGTTAGTGTTGTAACTTACCATACTAACACCATAGGTAATAACTAAAAGGCCCAGACACGTGTTTCGACGGTATTGCGCCGTTGCTTGACATAGCTGCGAGGGGTCCGGATCATCAATGGGTCCCCAGCTTTCCCTGTCTGCTTCCTGGTTGATATACCAGTTTTGAAAATTCAGCTTTTTAATCTCCTGAAAAACTAATTTCTGTTCGCGGTATATATCAATATATTTAAGGTCTATAGGTGTTAAATAGACCTTAAATATACTGATATATACCGCGAACAGAAATTATTTTTCCAGGAGATTAAAAAGCTGAATTTTCAAAACTGGTATATCAACCAGGAAGCAGACAGGGAAAGCTGGGGACCCATTGATGAGCCGGACCCCTCGCATCTGTGTCAAGCAACGGCGGAATACCGATGAAACACGTGTCTGGGCCTTTTAGTTAGAACCTAGGTTGTTAGTATGGTAAGTTACAACATCAATTTATAATACTAAAGTCTGTCTGTCAGCAGCAAGTGGATATTGCAGTGGCTGACGGATTTCAACCCAAATATACACTTACAATTTCGGTCTACGTCTATAGACCTCAAATATACTGATATATATCACGAACAGAAATTACTTTCTCCGGAGATTAAAAAGCTGAAAGAAGGTGTGTAAGTAAACAAACAAATAAGCCGGTTATCGCTGGGTTTCAATATGCTTATGAAAGTCATCTCTCTGCATTTACATTATTTTCGCTTAGGGCTGTGTGTCAGCCAAAAACAAGCACAGGCCGAGGGTGCTAGAGTCATCAAAAAAGTTAACTTAATACTAAAACTACAGCACCTAGATAAGTTGAAGTGAAGTTTTTGCCTCCTATGAACAGCAATTGTAACCTGGCGTTTGAATATAAAAGTGAAATGGAAGAAACCCAAGTTATTGTGCTAAAAATTAAAGGTCTCGCAGGCCTCCGTTTACTAGCCAGAGAAGGTTTACTTTGCTACGTAAAAAAACAAAAGCAGGTCACCTACTGGCAAGAAATAGGATCCTGTGAATCGATCTTCTCCAATCCTATAGGGTGAGCTAAATAGGTACGTCCTTCGGCCCTCGCTAGAACAAAGTCGGACTTCTTTTGTAGGTTAAATAGATCTCGTTTAATGTATTCATTGAGAGTTTCTGGCCACCCTTCACGATTTCTCTCGTTGAGAATTATAGGGGAGAGAACCTGAAAATTTTTTCGTCCAAATTCTTGACAGTACTTACTGTGTTCACAAATGCTATGAAATGGTGAAGAGGCGACTTGTGCATGTCCCCGTATATTACGTTCGCTTTCAACAGGTTGATGTCTACGCCTTTCTCATACGAATTTTTTTCCTTTTTGACAAAGTAGAGTGCTTTATTCTTCATCGCAGGTGGATATTCGAAAAATACTTCAAGTCCGCCTCCAAATCCAAAGATGATGACCAGCAAACTGAGATCCGAACTTTCAAAAAACTCCATAATTTTATCCATGGATACTTGATCCTCCCGGAGTTTCAGTAACTTTTCTATCTTCATATCTGACATTGCACGCAAATACTCAAACACAAAACGAAGGCGCGAATCATCTATATCGTCTAACGAGGACATTTTCGCAGCCCAAGTCTCACAGACTTGGAGTGGTACGTCTTACGTGGTTGCGTGTTCAAAATTCACATATCGATCGCTCGAACGTGCACCGTAATGGAAAAGTTGCTTTTGTCTCAGAAATTACGCGAGGAAGGATGCAAACTAAAGTTCATGTACCAGAAAACATACGAAAACGTTGTAGAACCTACTGATGAGCCAAACCCCTCTCGGATGCATTCTGTAGCGGCAGAAGATCGGTTCAACACGCGTATCTGGGCTTGCAACTAGCATCTGTGCTGTCAGTGTGGTAAATAATACCGTGAAAGTTGCTGCTGCTGCTGATAGACGCATAGCACATGCTTCTGCCTGTTACACGATTAACTAATGCGGTGGTTTAGAACGTCATTTCTCACGTTTTTTGCAAAA